AACTCATATGTTCAGGTCGTTTTTGTCTCAGTGTAAGATGTGAGATGAAGGACAGGCGATAGAAAGCTTACTTTCTGCTGCATATGAGCTGAAGAGCACTGATATGTCCATGAAAAGCAGCCAGTATGGTGGGAGTCATGCCATCCTCATCCGGCGTGTTCAGGTCCTTCACCGTGGCCTCCTTCAAGAGTTCCACGTATCCATCAATCGCTGCTTTGTGGTACCTAGACATCTCTGGTAAGAAGGGAAAAGCTTGGAGAAAAATAAAAATCCAAGTTTCTCTGCGCCCCACCTGGCTAACGTCAGATGAGCAGAAGCGACTGCAAACCCAAGCAAACAAAGCAATGACTGGGCGTCAACGCACCAGCAGCTCGGGGCCATAAAACAAAAGCAAAGTTCGCTTCACTGCTGTGAGCTGCCCCATTTCCTCAACACTATAAAAAAATCCCTTACTGCGATTTCACCCAGAAAACGTGTTCATACACAGCAGGAGTTTCTGCTGTAATCACTGTTTCTTCACAGGTTTGAAGGCAAAAGCAATCTTTATGAAAGAATAATATATTGTTGTGGATTAGAATGACCAGTAAAATGAAAATGGAACATTATCTGTTATTTCTAGTTTTCAGGTTTTAGCTCGTTAGAACTCTAAATTCTTCATCAACATTAGTAAGCTGATGTTTTTATGATACATTTTTATTCTGTAATTTGTAGAAAAGTATTTAAACGAGTAAAAAGCGACATCAACTCCCTCTGTTACCTTGAATCAACTTAAAACTTGGAACATTCAACTTTTTAACTTAAAGCGTTTACACCTAAAAACTGTCTTAAGTATAATACATGAGTAAAGCTATTATTAACAAATTATTGCTCTATTCTATTTATATATCTATTTATCCATCTAATCGAATTAGATATTGTTAAGATCTTGGCAGACATGCTTGATTGGGTCATTAATTACAGCAAAAGTAAAAATAACACACTATACTTAAAGTATCAAATGTAATAAAAAACAGGAAAAATAAAGTATTTTTTATTATTAATTATTGCAAACAGCTTGTGAATCGCACATGCTGTGGTGACCTGCCGCAAATAAGTGCTGTAAAATCCCATATAGTTTTTGCACCACTTCTCCTTCCAGTCCAGTAGGTGGCTAATAAATTCTATGCTAAAGTTAACGGTTTACCAAAAACAGAAGAAGAAGAAACAGAACCGGCAGAAGAGTCAACAAAAGAAGAAGAAGAAACTGTCCAATCAGCGGCATCTTGGGAAGAACTATCCCCCCGACCCGACCAGAAGAGAGTGACTCTGACAGTTTTTCACTTTCTTCTTTGGTTTCTGTTTCTTGTCGCTTCCTATAACATGAAGTTGTAAATAATTATTGTTTAAAACGTTTCCACTGTTCGGAAAACCCGGACATCTTCCATTGGGTTCACGGCAGTTACTTCCCGGTGTTTAGCTTGTGTGGTTGGACCGGGGAGAGCCTGCAGAGATGTCCGACAACGGTGGCTCGGCTGTCGGCCTCCTATCCTATGAGACGCTGGTTCATGCTGTGGCAGGTGCAATGGTGAATAGCTTTGTTTCTTATTTATTTATTTTTATGGGGGTTGGGGTATTATCCTTCTAATAGCAGGATAGCATGGTGTTGAAGAAACCACTTTAAGATGAACAATGGTGTTAGATGTTGTGTTTTCAGGTGTCAGTATGGATGTTAATGTTGCAGTGCATTGTCTTTTTAGGGGAGTGTGACAGCTATGACCGTCTTCTTTCCTCTGGACACGGCCAAAAGCAGACTCCAGGGTGAGCTGGGGGGCTTTATCATCTTGGACAGAGGTCACCTGATAAGCTGCAGAGTTGAACGAGGTTTAACGCTGGGGTCATTATAGAGCAACCGTAACTGCATCCCAAAGAGCAGCTCACTGATAAATGTAGTTTTTATTTTACCTCATAAACAATCCATTTCTGTTTGTTGTTTCACGTCTTTTTTTTATTGCAAAGCACGCTCATGTTCAGCTCTATATAAGACATAAAAAGGTGTGGCATGCCTTT